GAAATGTTTCTTGAATATTCGGCTTGAAAATGGCGTTAAACCGCGTTGGCTGATTGAAAAGTCGAAGATTTTGCGGTTTAGAGTTGATGTTTTCCAATGCACAAAAGCGGAACCTTTATTATGCAAATGGGAGCACAATTAAACGCTCTTGTAACGTAAGGTTAGTGCCTTTAAGGCATTAAGTCTAAGCTTCGCCAGCCACTAAATATGTTAAGGTTTCACTTCGGAATTAGCGCTGTTTCACCTCTGAGACTTGCGCCCGTATATGCGACAAGGGAAATTAATTCTGATTGTGCCGAAAGTTTTCCCGGAAAATGAAACCTATTGTTGAAGCTGCTTAGCTTAGCAGGAAAACGGAAAAAGTTGCGATTGTTTGCAAGCAAGCGGGTGAAAAGCGAGCTTTTCTAATGGTTCTCACCTGCATTCAGAAGGAGGACACACAACATACAGCAGTCTATTATCACTAAGGCCATTTCCATGCAGAATAGTGAAGGCGCATTCGTTTCCCGGTTCGTGATTCAAACCATATCGACGAGCCACCGCTGCCAGCTCGCTGTCCTTGTCCAGATCACGTCCTCCAAGTTGCACCTCTTTGATGGACATCAAATCCAGAAAACTGGAATGGAGCAAATCGCATCAGAATCTTCGATTACATCTGCGATTGCATCGGGAAACTTACCCATCATCCAAAGTGGCCATGCTCTGTTCCCCTGCACTCTGCAACGCCAGCTTAGTGAGCAATCCGGGAGCCAAAGTGTCCTCCGGATTGAAGCTGAGGTTGAAATCCTGCGAAAACGGATCGCTCTCATTGGTGTTCCCAGCTTTGAGCGCCGACCAGCTGGGTCTCACCCAGGTGAGCACCGTTGATGATCGATCCAGGCGAAGATAGAGAAACGTTCCTTTCGTGGTGGAGGGTGTCTGATTCTCCTGCCCCTCCCACAACACCACCGTGCTGCCATGGTGCAAAATCTGCGCCAATTTAACACCGAATTCGTGACAAAGGAATTGCATTTTTTTGAATATTTCCCTCGTATTGTACACTTAACGATAATTGCATTGTTTACAAAAAATATTTGACAGGTGTCATGTTGAATTAGACATCAAATGTCTTCCTGACATACCTAAGATATTCAAATTA